AATATTTTTAAATATATTAGGTAGTACAATATAAAACTTAAAAATACAATGCAACATTTTAGATTATAACAAATATTATGTACTATATAATATTATAATGTAGATCAGTCTTATGATCARGTAAATAATAATATACAGAAAACATGATGTTTTTGAAAATAAAACATAGCATCTTTAAAATAACAGTTCAAACAAATTAATAATCATAAAAAGTAAAAAATAAAAAATAACATATTAGATTATAACAATCAAATTAGATCAGTCTTGTGATCAGATAAATAATAAATAACAATAAACATCATGTTTTTGAAAATAAAATATAAAGTCTTTAAAACAACAGTTATTAATTATTAATACTAAACAACCAATCAAATGAGTATTAAATTATTTAAAATAATACTCATTTGATTGGTTGCCTTTTTCTACAATTTTGAGTAAATAGTATACCCCTAACAACTTATTTGAATGTTCTGGAGATAATCTGTTTCACAAATTATTATGTATATAAGACCAATTTGAAAATACTCTCTCCAATTGGGCTGTGGATGCTGGTATATTTAATAGTTTGCTGGCAAAATCTGCTAATTCAGGATGTTGTTGTTTAGCAAAAGACAAAAACAAACTTGCTGTTAGAGTATCTTTTTCAAATAAAATGCCAAATAAATTTTTTTTCTTTAAACTCAATAAAGCTATTTAAGCCATTTGTACCAATATCAGTTGAGTTTAAAATGAAATTTTTAACAATGTCTTTCTGCTCAGGTGACATTTTATTGTGTTTTTGATAAATCGGATGTAAATAATAAGCGGTTAATGTATATTCATTTAAAGCATACTTTTGTCGCTTTGCAATATAATTATTAAAACTTTCGAATCCACTAGGTATTTTGCAAGGTAAATTTAACCATAATTCTGCTGCATCAGCATTTGATGTTTTACTTTGTTGACAAATATTAATGAGTTCACATATAGGCAAGGCTGGGCAAGTTTACTATTCTTTTTAACTCGTTAAGTTAAGTTAATATAGAAAAAAGTAAGTTAAGTTTAAAGTTAAAAATTACCTCTATTTTTTTTTAACTTGCAAAAGTTACAAGTTAACTAGAAAATAAAAGTAACTTAACTTAGTTAAAAATAAGTTACTTTTTTTCAGTATAGAATTAATAATTATAACGGCCAACCTTTTTTTAAGCTAACAAATAACATAATAATTCAATAAATTTCTTAAACATTTTAAATAGATGTATGTAATAAAGTTATTTACTGTAGGTACTTATATTTTTATATTATCCTTTAATCAATGATGAAATCCAATAAAATAATTGTTATGTATTTGTTAACGTAAATGATCCACAACTATACCAAATATTATTTATTAGAATATAATTATTTGGTTACAAAATATATAAAATATTATTCAATTAATAGTAAGAATACAATATTTAATCAAACCATTATTGTATTTTACCATTTTAGTAGACAGTAGTTACCTCATACCTACCTATAGTCTTATAGTGAGGTGTATTTGCCATTTGGTATATCATATGAATATCAAAAGTAAAATAATGCAACCAAAAACTAAGCTTTTCAACATTCATACTTTAACTATCACTATAATAAAACCATGATAATTTACCAAACATTTCAAAACACAATGCTTTCAAGTTTCAAAGAAAGCAATATGAAACAATGAAATCTAGAATATGAAAACTAATTTTCGACGACAAAGGACAGACTCAAGACATATGAGACTCAACACGCTATATTTTGTTTATGACTTTATGTCCACTACTCCACTATTCTATTACAACCCGCATTTATTGGGTGGTTTATTGAAAATTTAAAATGAATCTGTGTCCCAGGTATTTACACTGACGGGCTAAGTTATCTCTGTAATTCTATGAATGTATAAAATATAATAGTTACAATACAGTATGTTGTACTAAGCTGTTTTATACTGTACGTTTTATAAGTTTTATACTGTACTGTATCATACGTTCCAACCCTGGACATGAATTAATCATAAATTATATTGTTATATATATTATAATGAATGATTGGATGAACAGTGTCATAAATATCATACCTTCCTATCTACGAGTAAATCCAGATAGGTATATTGCATATTATGTTAAGGTGAATAACAACATTTGATGAATGTTAATTTCTTCTTAGATGTAGACATTCACTGGTGAATGTTGACATGCACTATCTGTTTTTGATGAATGTTGACATTTTGTAAAAAAAGATTAATACCTAGTGATAAAATAGTTTTAGTTAAAGGGTTTTAATTAAACATAAATTATTTTATTTTATATTATGAAAATTATTTGTTGCAACAAGATAAACTACTATGGCATTTTGAATTACATAACATTCCTGAGGGAAAGTTAACAATTTTTTTAAACTCGTTAAGTTAAATTGTTTTAAAATAATAAAGTTAAGTTAAAAGTTATTCATATTTTTTTCGTTAACTCGTTAACTTAGAAAAAAAAAGTAACTTAACTTAGTTTAAACTTTTTAAAGTTAACATTTTCTAATTTGCAAAATAAGAAATTCCAAACACATAATAATGTTTATTAGTTAGTTTTTCTTTACGCCCAAGAAAATTACTRGGGAAATTTAAAATGATACATCAAAGTATTAACTAGCTATCGAAAAACATACTTTTCTAAAATCCTCATAAAAAAATTTGGATTATCCTTTGGGCAAAAATTTATTTTTTAATAAAATTCACTTGAAATTAACATATTAATCTTAAAAAAAAGTAACTCATTAAGTTAAAAGATAATTTTAAATAAAAGTAATGAGTTAATGAACTTAATTAACATTAACTTAACGTTTTAACTTAATTTTAACTTTTAATTCATTAATATCCAGCATTGCCAATTTCAACTAAACATTTTTAAAATTCATCAAAACTTAATATTGTGAATGTCAACATTCACCAAAACTCAATATTGTGAATATCAACATTCACCAAAMCTCAATTGTGAATGTTAACACTCACCGATAATCGTTGTGAATGTTGACTTTCACCGGTGACTGTTTGTAATTTTTTAATATTTATTCAATATGTTGACATTCACCAAAAACAGCAGTGAATGTCAACATTCACCAAATGTCGTCATTTACCTTAACATATATAAAACAAAAATCATGACTAGTAAAAGATAAAAAAAAATTGACATGCAGACCTATATAATACAAACAAATAATTTTTAATATTATACTTGAATATCAAAATCGTATAGGTACTCGGTACTGAGAGATATAAGATACTCATAAACAACTTGTTTTAAAATTAAAATATAAAAAAAAAATCAGTGTTTGGTAAGAACGCTGTTCATGAACAAACAATCACATTCATAGTTAGTGAACGACGTTTATATTTTTAATGAATTTTTACAATTTTTAAGATGCTCAATTTATTTTTTAATATTTAATAATTATATTATATATAATTTAGATACTTAAGAAAATATATATACTCTAAAGTCTAAATTGTGTTTTTATTTTTGGATTTTTATATTCACTATACTGGTAAACTATTCATAAAAAAATTAAGAGAACGACTTAATCATAAAAATCATAAAATATGTATTAGCTCAAGCTCCTTTCAATATTAAGACTTTAAAAATATATATATATATATTTTAATTATTAAATGATATAATTTACACCTATGTACTTATTAATATTTCAAAATGTTTCATATCTTGTTTAGTTCACTATAGAAAAGTGTTTCTGTTTATGTAACGAATTACGCATTTTTTGTATTTGTTACTCATCAAAACCAATTATTTATGTTGATTTTGGTCTAAACTCTAAATGTCTTAGTCGGTAAGTACTCTTAAAAACATTAAATAGGTAGATAATCAAGAAGAATCTAATCCTAGACCAAACTTTGTCTGAATTTTTTTAAATTATCAAGATTCTTACAAGAATCTGAAGAAATTAGAAGATCTGCAGGTAATCTATTACCTAGTTAAAACATTTAAATTATTTGTTTTGCCTTATAATAAATGTTATGCATTGCTATAAAGAATATATGGATTTTCTCAACTATAATCAAGTATTCTGTCTAAATATTTTAAGTATGTTACACTTAAAGACTTTTAATATACAATTAGTTTAAGTACTGATACTAACTCCGTTTAATAGTAAAATACTTGGAAAAATAAATAATGCCACATTTTTTTATTTTATAATTTCTTGCAAGGGGCAAATACTTTACATATGTTTATAATGTTTGTATAAGATATATAGTATATACATAAATAATTATTAAACTGTAGTTATAATTATCAATTTATATTAAATACTATGTAATTACCTATATATATATTTATTATTTATATTTCAGAATATGCAATACGTTTTGAATTCAGTATAATCAAGTACCTAGGTATATGTTTCTAAGTATAAAATGTACACTTTGACTCAATTTTGTTATATGTATAGTTTATACTACACAATATTATGATGTACTTGTATTATATTATATATAGGCACATTAAATTAAAATATAATTCCATTTTTAGCTGGTGCGTTTTCTTAGGCATCCCACTCAAAGATGACAGATTTGTATGACTGTAATTTAAGATATGTTTGGGTTGTACACAATATTTTTTAATTGTGGCAATACTTTTATGAGTTTCTGAAGCTTAATCAATGGCGTGTCTTCTGGTTTCAAAGACCTGATACATTTGTTTTCCTTCAAAATGGTTAATTGTTCACTGTAAAACAAAGAAAATGTATTAAGGTATTTTAATATTACTTCTAATGAGTATTACCATGGACTTATTTTTTTACCACCAACTTAATCTGTGATATTACAAATGAGCTAAGAAAAGATAATGTTGATTAAAAGAAGGAGAGGTTAGACACTTACGAATTTCCAATGTATAGCTTAACGTGTAAGCGTTTTGATAATATGAGAGCACATCTTGCCACAGTGGTCGAACGCAGTATCAAATTGACCAGGTCATTTATGGTAACCATCATATCCGAATATATGTAAGGGTTGAGATTAATGCAGTGGAACGTTTTTCCTTCAAATATTACCTTCTGAATCTGTGCTTAAAAAATGTATGTATATGTATATTATTTAATATTTATTAAATAAAAAGATTTAAATTATTATAACACACATATTATAACTTTAAAAAAAAATTTACTTTTCTATAAATCAAAGAAGTCCAAATGATAGTTTTTATTTTTTGTACTATTTCTAATTTTAATTTAATTTAAACAAAATACAGTTTTATTATTTTTTTCTATACCTCGATTGATCAAATAATAAATATTGAAACAATTGCTAAAAGTTAAAAAATATCCCAAGATTATTGAGTTMAAAACAACTAAGTTCAATGATTAACTTTACTTAATTACTAAGTATAAATATTGTACACACATTTAGCTTACAGAAAAACTACGCAAATTGAAATTGTCAGCCTAGAGAGACTACTTGTCTATTAATATGAAAGTAATTGTTTAACTGCCAAACTGTTAACTTGTTTTTAAATATAAAAACATGTCAACAAAAATATTTTATAAAAATGTATCAAGATTTTACATCATATAAAACTTTGAAAAATAATTGTTTTTATTCTAGTCCTCAATCACTTGAGTCAATCATAAAATATTTAACATTATTTACCTTGTATGGCAATAATCTGTTGTTTTCTACACACGCCTGATCTGGTATTCTATTCAAATTACATCTCTCAGTAGGGTGGAGAGCAGTCATTTGTATAATTTGAGGAGTAGGACTAGATGGAGGAGATGATAAATCAATGATATTAGTAATAATGGGCCTAGAATTGCTTAAGATGTTGCGTTCTTGAATGTTGATTGAACGACGACGGCTACTCGTATATACAGATTGGCTACTATATGTTTGCTGAGTTTGATTAGTAGTAATTATTTGTCGTTGTTCTTGACGTGGTTGTTGATACTGTTGTTGGTTGGCTTGACTGCTGCTACTTGCAAGTTGACTGGAGAATTGTTGCACTTGATTTGWTATTATATTGCTATTAGTCATTGGACTGCATACAGTCATACGTGGGCTTACAGTAATAACGTTGGTATATGATAATACATTACTATAAGCAAAAAAAATTTTATTTCCATTTTTAGACATTTAAATTGATCATATGTATTATTTTAATTAAACTTACTCAATTATAGGTGGTGGTGGCACAACATGGCTTCCACTGGTTACCTAAATGTAAAAATTGGTTTAATAAAATATATATATATACCTACGTACCCCACAACGTAATATTATTTTAAATTAAAATCTGCCAATGAATATAAAATTACAAATATATTACCAATTTTATATTTCACATCTTAATATTTAAAATTAACATTAATGGAGTATCAAATTATATAAAATCATAAAATTTTTCAAAATATTAACAGTTAGACTTGTCATTTACACAAAATTCAACTCAAATAAAAGCCACATACTTTACTTTTAATTATTATTAATA